ATTTGACCACTTTTTTACTGAAATCTTTTTTCAACTTACCAAATTTCAACTCTTTTTTTCAAAGTGAAATACATCCTCAAAAACATAACTCTAACTTTTAATACTTTTTGTTTTTTTAGTTGATTTTTAAAATTTAAATGTAGATGTGAACACAAAGGATGTTTGATGAAAATTCATGTCTTGTGATTCTTGAATTATATTTTTTAATGCAGTGATTCAGAGATAAAAAAGTTTGAGACACCCATAAAATACAGTTGTGTCAGATTTTCTTTGCTACAGATCATGATTTTTTTTATATAAAATTTTTTTTATTGAAAAATAATGTTACATTTGAGTTTTGTCTGTGTCTTGTCAAAAAAGTGGCCCATGTACAAAAAAGTAGCTGGCTATGATAAGAGAAAAAAGTTTAATGAGTTGATATGATTCCATAATTATTATTAATTATAATATATAGTGTGAATTAAAATCATGGGTGGTTTTGTCGTATTTGTATGAAGCTTAATTAATATTTTAAGATGTATTTTTAATTATATTGACATGAGAAAGATTATAATTCATAATATTTTTCGTATAGTTTTCGAACATCTAAATTTAAAATTTAAATATTGAATTAATCTAATTCAATGTAACTCCAATGATTAATCAAATTGACTTTTGTGAAGCAAAATGTGACAAGTAAAAGTGAAAATGAAATATATTCTACTGAATATTTTTTTGTTAGTTGAGTTATGTTTCAAGTGAGTGGTAGCCTAGACACCACAACATATGAATTTAAATTTGATGAGTTCAATTAATTTTAATATCGCTAGGCATTACATCTTCGAAATGATATATAAGTTCTGAGTTTAATTTATTAAATTTTAAATTTTATGAGTTCAATTTTTAAGATTAATACAACTGATCACTAATTACATATATATATTTTTTACATAATTTAAAGCACACATTCATCATATAAACTTTAGAAGATTTTGCATAATTGAATTAAGTTGTCTTTATTATATTTTGTTTGATTTGTGAATGTCCTTTATAATAAAGATTTTAAATAGTCTAAAAGAACTATTTAATTATATATGTGTACTTAATTTAGTACCTTAATCTTGAAGATATATATATTGACTTAATTTTATACATATCCAAAAAGAAGAAAAAAACTACTGTAACCTTTTTTTTCAAAATTTCATGTTTGATTTGGTCTTTGTGAGGTCCCAATAATGGATGTTCCATCTACATCAAACTGAACATTTACTATGGTATTTTTTACAAGACAAATAGAAGCTGCCAAAATGTAGCCTGGAAAAACAGCATTATTTTTTATATTAGAAATGTTATTTTTTGTTTTCCGTGTGATGTTTGGTATCTGTATTAAGGGTCGATTAAATTTGAATTAATTTGGTTGAAATATTATATGTTAGAGGTAAAACACTCTTACCAAAGGCTATTGGGGTCTAGGGCCCGATTGAAGACGAGATCGATCTTTAGTTAAGAATAAAAAAGTAATATTTACCACTCCATAATATATGTGTTCGGTCCCTATGCATTAATATTGTATTAGCTTGTTGATACATGTGGGTAAACACGCAAGAGGGGAAACTATCAGGGTCGACCAGAGGATCAAGCCATCAAACCTTGGGTTTTCGGGTCCTAAAATTTTTGGGGGTCCAATTTTCTTTGATTCGGTGTTTGATGGAAATCTGTATTGAATTTTGAGATAGGTCAAGTCGATTAAAGTAGAAAATGCTTTTTAATAAGATTTTCTTTTACTCGAACTCAAAATCTCTAGTTAAAAAATGGTGAAACTTAATTTTAATCTATAACTTGGTTCTTTTAAAAAATATGAAGAAAAAATATAAAATATCCCGTTAAAATTAAAAATTACTATTCCTACTTTAGTAGTTGATGCAAAAAGAAATAACCAAAATATTACGAGGAATTAATGATGTTTTCTTTTTTGTGAGCAAAAAAGATTTTAGAATTTTCCAAAAAATACAATATTTTGTCCCAATTTTTGGCCCCATTTGACAATTCACGATGACCAAGAAGTAGCTCGTATTCACTTTTTTTTTTTTAAAAAAAGGTGAAAAAATAAAAAATGGGGATGGGAGAAGAAGGCATGAAGATGGGATATCGAACTCTCATTAATAAAATAAAAGTTCATATAGTAAATCAACTGAGCTATTAAGATTTTCTAGTAGTTTGTATTCTCACTTTTTCAATTTTACACTTCTTTCAACATGGTTATATGTAAATACTCCTTCCGTGCTATTTTAATGGTCACTAAAATAATATTTTAAGAATTATCAACAGATAAATTTTATAGTTAAACAGTGAAAATCGTTGTTAATCCATTTAATAGTAAATTATCAAAAAAAAAATTATGTTAGTTACCAACTATTTGGCGAATAGCAACGAATTCTAATATTTTCTTCTTGTAGTTATGGATATCTGAATAATCTTTTTCTTATTTCTGTATTTCTTTCCCATGACAATTAAGAACAGGCAATTCAAAAATTTCACTTCGAATTTTGGACCTTAACATCCTGCTACTCATGATGTTTCATGATCAATATTGAAAATGAACGGAGAAGTGATGGAACGTGCAGAACCACATATTGAATTACTCCAGTGCGGCACGAAGTCAATGATGCCGAGTCGGCTCCTATGCTGCTAACTATGTCCTAGTTGACCCCCCTCCCCCAACACATTGGAGGTTCCATATTATGTCATCATAAACACCGGGCTAAAGGACAGTTTGGCAACTCAAGCGAACCGCCTTATCTTATTCCAACATATGGACAGAAGGGAGAAGTTTGTGAAGATAAATTTATTATCTATACCTCCGATCGAATGAATGGAGGATCGACCAATAATCTAGATTTTCATGAGCGTTGATGAATTCTAAAAGTGTCTGTCAAGGACGCTAACGCATATGCCGAGATGATCATCACCGCATTTATCCGCACTCGTCGTTTACCTCAAATAACTAAATACAAAACATATGTACAATGAACTTCTTCTAGTAATACTGAATTAGTCATCATTTTTTGTTCCTGAGCAGTGCGCATGTATTCATGCATATATGCATCATTAATATACGAACAACACTAGTATATATACTTATTAAATCGAATTTGAATTATATATACTTAAAATGTTTACAATTTTAAGTATACCAAGAAGATAAATAGCCAAATATATCTATGAGGGTGGACGAAATATTAAATTACTCATTTCGTAGGTTTTTAAATGTTATTAATAGAAGATATTAATTATATTGCAACAATAGGGCAAAAAGAATAAAGTATATATAATTTTGAAAAGCTCTTCAATAAAGTTTACGTACATATTAGATCTAAAAAAAATGTTGGTTATGTTATACTCATGTACTTTTTGCTTTTTAACATGTTGAGTTATTATATTAAAATTACACTTTAATAGTGTAATTCTTGAGATCAGTGACGCAGTTAAATTTTTTGTTAAAGATGTCCAAGATTATAATATTCTATGCGTGAAATAATTTTTGACTGATATATTTTGTACAATAATTTTGTGATGAAGACTATATGTGATTATGCCACTGGTTGCAATTTATTTGCTGTAATAAGGTGTTATCACGCTCAAAACTCATTCTAAAAGGATAAATGATCATGAGTAAACTTTCGTATCACCAAAAATATCATTTTAAATCAATTTTCTAAGGTATAATATATATTTTGGATTTTTATAAAGACTAACAAAGAATAAATAACAAGAATAATAAAGTTATTTAGTAAATGAAATAATTTTCTTTAGATATTAAGAGGCCTAGGATAATGATCTTCCCAATTATCAAAATAAATTGTTGACGTGTAACTATAATCTTGTTAAACTATTCAAAACTTTCACTTTGAATTTTGGACCTTAACATTCTGCTACTCATGGTGTTTCACGGTCAGTATTGAAAATGAACGTTAGGAACCACACATTGGATTAATCAAGTGCGGCAAGAAGCCGCTGATGCCAAGTCGGCTCCTATATGCTGCTAGTTATGTCCTACTTGGTCCCCCTCCCCGACATGTTGGAGGTTCCATAACACGTCTTGAGCATCAGACTAAGAGGCGGTTGAGCAACTCAAGTGAACCGCCTTACTTTATTCCAACATATATAGGGACAAAAGGGAGAAGATTGTGAAGATTGTCTTGTTATCTATACCTTCAATTGGATGAATGGAGGATCGATTGATTCAAATTTTCATGAGCATTGGTGGGTTCTAGAGTGCCTATCAAGGACGCTAACCCATAGGAGTAAAAAGATGTCTGAAATTAGATATGTTGATGTGTTTTGATTGTTATTTAGTCCTCTGTTTCTACTTTCAGAAAATCAGAAGAAGGGAGAACTCTATTTATAATCCTTTAGCATACTTGATGCATTTACATTTTGAGAAAACTATGGAGTCAATTTTTGTAAAAGATTGGGCATGTCCAATCTTGAAACTTTTAAAGAGGATAGGCATTTCATAACATGTGTTTTGTTATTGATTATTAATATACGAGGTAAGGATCATGACTAACCCCCGCCGACCTGAAGGTGGATTAAAAAAAACTAAAAAACTAAATGCATGCAAAACATGTATTTTTCATACACATTTATCACTTATTATAATCATGAATAATTAATGATGATGGTATGTATAATAAACTTCTTCTAGGAATACTGAATTAGTCATCATTTTCTGTTCCTGAGCATGTTACCAATTTATCATGCATATATGCATCACTAATATTCGAACAACACTAGTATATATACTTACTAAATTGGATTTGAATTATATATATTGATAGTCTAATTATTATTTTTATCTCATCAGGTCAATTTATTTGTTTGTCGAAGTACTAGTATGTTATGAAAAATTACATTTTCGAACTAGTCTACTTAAGTATTGATGAACACGGAGTTAACATATATTTATATTAAGGGGAGATTGATAAATCAAATGAAGACCAATAATTGAGATACGTACAAACTTGAGAATAGAACTATATTTATTAATGATGACAAGATGGACAAAAGCTTTTGCTTTAACTCAACAACAACAAAAGAAGAATATATGTATGATAGATATGAACTTGTTTAGTTACTAGGAATATCAAATTTCAACAAGTTTTTCAAAGAATAACAACTAATAAAGGTGATTAACCACTTGATATAAGAGCACCTAGGGCACTTCTAAGAGTAAATAGGAGAACATTACTACCCCTTGCTTATTATTGCATGCAAGAAGAGTGAAACTTTGTTGATCAATGAAGACCACCACCAATGCCGCCACCACCACCAAAGCCACCGCCACCACCAACTCCACCTCCAGTACCAGCACCAGCACCGGCACCAAATCCTCCACCTGCTCCAAAACCTCCTCCTGCACCTCCACCACCACCTCCTCCACCACCACCGATACCTCCTCCAACACCTGCACCTGCACCAAAACCACCTCCTACACCGCCACCTGCTCCACCACCAATTAGCACCTCCTCCAATGCCTCCACCCCCTCCAGCTCCTCCTCCAATGCCTCCACCAGCTCCACCACCAGCACCTCCTCCAATGCCTCCACCCCCTCCAGCTCCTCCTCCAATGCCTCCACCAGCTCCACCACCAGCACCTCCTCCAATGCCTCCACCCCCTCCAGCTCCTCCTCCAATGCCTCCACCAGCTCCACCACCAGCACCTCCTCCAATGCCTCCACCCCCTCCAGCTCCTCCTCCAATGCCTCCACCAGCTCCACCACCAGCACCTCCTCCAATGCCTCCACCCCCTCCAGCTCCTCCTCCAATGCCTCCACCAGCACCTCCTCCAATACCACCACCAGCTCCACCCCCAGCACCTCCACCAATGCCACCACCTCCTCCAGCTCCTCCTCCAATGCCTCCACCCCCTCCGGCTCCTCCTCCAATGCCTCCACCAGCACCTCCTCCAATACCACCACCAGCTCCACCCCCAACACCTCCTCCGGCTCCTCCTCCAATACCTCCACCAAGACCACCACCTGCACCACCTCCTAAGCCGCCACCAGCTCCTCCACCAAGACCACCACCTGCACCACCTCCTAAGCCACCACCAGCACCTCCACCAAGACCACCTCCTCCGCCTAGACCACCACCACCTCCAAGACCACCACCTGCACCACCTCCTAAGCCACCACCAGCACCACCACCAAGACCACCTCCTCCGCCTAGACCACCACCAGCTCCTCCTCCAAGACCACCTCCACCACCCGCACCTCCACCTAGACCACCACCAGCTCCTCCACCAACACCAAGACCTCCACCATGTTTAAACCCACCAAAACGATCACCAAAACGACGATGCTTAAATAGAAACTTTTCATCATCTTCAACTCCCCTCGTAACGTCATCACCAAACACCACATAACTTTCCACAACAAACACAAACAAGAGAATTAAAACCCCAACACTACGACCAGATAATAAACAACCCATTCTATATGACTCCAACTCTTAAACCCTATTTAACAAAAGAGAACACTACTAATAATATCCAAGGCATGCAAGAATGTTTACAATATGATCCTATTATATAGTGCAAGAAAATCACATGGTAGGTCCACTTAATAATTACAACTTAGAAGTGAAACTCAACTGTCACCTTCTAATGAAGTAAATGCTTGTGCTCTCTAATTGGGCAGAAGATTTAATTCTTGCAACTGCCCCTCTCCCCCGCACACAAACACAAGCATTGTTTTCATTACTGCTTTTTAATTTGGTTCTGGCAAATTTGACTTTTACGGTATCTCTCATTTATACAGATAGTACTCTGATCCTCTGATTCATATTAGGTGAATTATTGATACGATCGATCATCTCTTATGAAAAATATTTCATGGTACATGAATAAAGTGTTACTATTTAATACTATTGCTTTTTTTATTATTTTTAAACTATTCTCGTAGAAAATGTGACGTAGTTAAGAACATTATTAAATAAAAGATAAATACAAAAGTCCTGATAATTTTCTTGAATTTTGAATAGTTCACTTATTTTGAACTATATAAAAAAAACTCAACAATTCACTGAATATGAACTAGAGGGAGTTTAATTTTTCACCGAAGCCGCCCTTGATGTGAACCTTGATATACATTGTAAAATACAACTTTATTTAGCAAATTGACATGAGGAAAGTTGCAATTTATAGTTTTTCCGTATAGTTTTTCGATATCTAAATTTTTAACTATAAAATATTAGATTGAACTAATCCAAATAAGATTAATTAAATTGACTTTCGAGAAGCGAAACATAACAATCAAATTTGGGACAATGAGAATACTTTTTTTATGAATGCATGGTTATTTATAATTTCTTATACTGCACGTCATGTATAAGTTAAACTCAAATATCATACGTGCAAAAAACTTAAAATCTTACCCAAAATATTAGGTTAATTTACGCAAATATCCTTTTTTTTCAGCCACCTCTTTGTAATATTTCAAAAATTGTGCAAAATATAGCTCTTGGAACTAACGAAAGATTAAATCGTCTACTAATACCCCGAAAATAGAAAAGATGACCATTTACTAAATAGTTTTAGAGAGTGATAACCGACGAAGCCGCATCTTTTTAAATAATTAGTTGACTTGTGTACTAATTATTACTACTATATTAAATCAAAGTAGAAGACTTTTTCTTCAATGTATAGTGATGTTATCTTGGGGGTTGGGCTCTGTATGCCATTAATGGTGAAATTTAATCTACTTCCTGCCAACAGTTTGTGCTTTCTCTTTCTGAGTACAGATGTAGATAGCTATTTGTTTGAAAAATTCTTTGGTCTAAAAGTATTCATGGCCTTTATGAACCATGACTTTTGTTCCTATCACCTCTTTTTATGTAGATAGTACTAATAGTATTGTTGTTATCAGTTTGTGTATGTCTCGACTAATCTGTCAGTTTGTGTATGTCTCGACTAATCTGTCATGTGGTTAATGTCTCTTTATAAGTACGTACTACCACATGGATTGAGTAATTCTGCCATCAAGGTTTAGATTGATGAACTGAATTATTTATGTACGTTTGATATGTGATAGTATTATTTTTATCTATTTGTGTACGTCTCGACAAATCTATCATATGGTTATATTTTGTGTCTGTATATATGTAAGTAGTCCATATGAATTGAGTAACTATGTCATCAAGGTTTAGATTGATGAAAGAATATATTTAGGAATCGTTTGATACACGGGATGAAATATGTAAGCTTGTGATTTTCTATAAATGTATTTTATCATACCTTTTATATGGGATATTATAATCTCACTATTTTAGTTCAATTCTGTGATTAGCTAATATCTCAAATAGAATATGGGATAAAACTAATCTCAAATTTTATCCTAAAACGTCTATTATCCTTATCTCACATACCAAATGACTCCATAAGTAATTGTTATGTTGCATTTTGTAGTATATTTGGGTCAATTTACGTGTGTATCTTGACTAGTCTACCATATACTTGCTATAGATGTATATCGGGTAACTTTATCACCAAGATTTTAGATAGATGGAAATAATTCATCCAATGCACATGTGAAATCTATATGAAATTTCAATTACTAGAAACACACTTCTCGAAATTTCTGACTGCTCGTCAGATATGAAATAGTTTTCGCAGATTTTTATATGTATCTTAATTAATTCATCTAGTGTTTTGATATCTTCCACAATATACGTATCGAGTAACTCTATCAAAAGATTTAGATTGATGAAAATAATTTAAAATTTAATTGTTGTATCTACATATAATTTCAACATTATATTTCCCAAAATTTCACTCTTAACACGCTTGCTTTTTAATTTTCGCAAAAATAAAATTTAAGTAACAATCAAATGTTGGGTCGGCATGCATCAGTCTATTTAATGAAGTGTTACTAGTAATTAACTATTTGTGCAGTTTAAATTTATTGAGCTGAGATGATATTTAATTCTAAGTATTATAACAGGAAGATAATTAAATAGCCAAATCTATCTCTGAGGGTGGACAAAATATTAAATTACTCATTTCGTAGGTTTTTAAATGTTTTATTAATAGAAGATATTAATTATATTGCAACAATATGGCAAAAAGAATAAAGTATATATAATTTTGAAAAGCTCTTCAATGAATTTTACGTACATATTAGATCTAAAAAAAAGAATGTTGGTTATGCTATACTCATGTACTTTTTGCTTTTTAAAATGTTGAGTTATTAGATTAAAATTACACTTTAATAGTATAATTGTCGAGGGTGTCCAAGATTTAATATATATATATATATATATATTATACATAATATAAATTTTTGACGAAGGGTGTCTGATTGACCACCTGTACTATATGTGGCTATGCCACTGGTTGCAATTTTATTTGTTGTAATAAGTTGTTATCACGCTCAAAACTCATTCTAAAAGGATAAATGATCATGAGTAAACTTTGGTATTACCAAAAATATCAATTTAAATCAATTTTCTGAGGTATAATATATATTTTGGATTTATATTAGACTAACAAAGAATAAATAACAAGAATAATAAAGTTATTAAGTAAATGAATTAATTTTCTTTAGATATTAAGAGGCCTAGGATAATGATTTTCCCAATTATCAAAATAAATTGTTAATGTGTTACTATAATATCGTTAAACTATTCTATATCAATTATGAATTATTTTTTACCACAAATTCTGCACTTTCTGTTAACTCGATTACAAATTGTAATGTAATTAAATAATGTGGTGGATGGTGACATAAACAAGAAGAAATAATGAATATATCGATGCAAATCTAGTGTACCATAGGTTTAGGTAATGTGCTGGTTATATTAATCATACTTAGGTATTTTTTTGAATGCATGCACTTCGATTAATTCATCAGATATTTATTTTTCTTTTATTAGTAAAGATAGAAAGTTATTTCTAATCATAAAAACTAGATGGATTAGGGAGAACTTATGTATTATCGCTCTCTTTTTCTAATGTTTTATTTTTGGGAAAACTACATAAATGGGTCATAAAATCTAAAATAATTACAAGTTCATACCCAAATTCAAAGTAATTTCTGAAAGACCCATTCTCTCATAAATAATTACAGTCCATACCCCCCATTCATTAAGGGTGATAATTTTCGCTTAAGTGCTACTAAATCGGTATCATATACTGTATTTGTATCATTAAGGTTGATAATTTCGCTTAACTGATACTAAATCAGTATATATATACTGTATTGGTATCATTAAAGTTTCTTGTTCAGAAATTACTTATTAGTCAATGATATTATAAGAGTATATATGTATATTGTTGTGGTATCATTAATGTTTCTTGTTCAGAAATTACTCATTAGTCAATGATACTATAAGAGTATATATATATATATATATATA